TTTTTTTTTAAATTTTTTTTTTTTTTCAAAGGTGTGTTAAGATGTATGAAGGGTTTTCTGGGCTAGGCAATGTGTCGAACAGTTGAGCTGCATGGGGTGATGGGATTTGAAAGAACAATGTATTTGTCATATGCTATTGGTAATGTAATAAATTGGTGAACACAAGCAAATGTATGGATGTGATGCTAATATGTTATATGTGAGCTGGTGAAACTTTGGGTGATTATTTTTTTCTTCAAATTCAGGGCTGGGAACACTTGGGCCTAACTATGGCAGTTTTATGGTTTACAGATTCCAGCTAGTGATAATTTTTTTAAAAAAAAAATTAAAAGAATGTATGAGATTTTAAGAGTGATTAAAAGTTTGTTTTATAAGCTGAATTTATAGCTGATTAAAAGTAAGTATGAGAATTTAAGATTGATTAAAATTTTGTTTTAACTGATAATTTATAAGAGAATTTCGAATTTATAGTTAATATATTATGACTGATAGCTAAAAAAACTAATTGATATAATAAAATTGTTTATTGAAATTAGATGATAAGCGATTTGAAAAAATAAAGAATCGACGAACGAACTTGAAAAAATACATAAGAAAACTTATGATATATACTCTAGCTTTTTTTTTTAAAAAAAAAAAAATCCTACCAAATTAAATGTATTTAAATGCAGAAAAGCTTATAATCTATATAAATAAGTTACAAGTTGATTCACGGTGTTTACCAAACACAAGATTCCAGGCCCAATTAAAGGAATCATACTATAAACATTACGTAGGCTATTTTACAAGTTCACCACATTTTGGGAAAAAAATTTAAAAAATAAACCAATGCTACAATAAAATGATGAAAATTAAAAAAAAAAATATTTCAATGGAATCTCGACGGGATTGCGATGAATACTTCAATGTTATTACTCAGTGGAAATCTTCCCGTTGATTCCAACTAAAATTGAAAAAAAAAAGTATTCCTTGAATTAGTTATCCATTAGAATTTCTATTGAACTTTGATGATTCCAGCAATACATTTTTCAGTAGTTGAAACATGGTTCAAAATAAGATTTCAACAAAACCGCATATTATAACGGAAATTTCTACAATAATGAACCGTTGGAAAAATTGTCGTTGGAATCATCAAATTCTAATGAAATCTCAATAAAAAATTAATTCCAACAAAATATTTAATGTTGATCTCCCTTTAAAAATCCATTAGCATTTGCCAAGTAAATTATAGCATTGAATAATCCATTGGAGTTTTCATTGAAATATTCTACTATTGGACTTTTCATTGAAATATGGTAACATTTTTGTAGTGCAAAAATAATGTAATTTAGAAACTAATGACAAGAACAAATAAAAAAATAATATATATTTTTTTTTGTCGAAACGGTAGAGACTTTATAAATAAACGCACAAAGTGCAAAGATACAACAACTAGCTGAATTATACAACCAATGACTGAGAAAACTAGGAGGACAGGTCCAAAGACCGCCTAGATCTGAAAACTAGCAATGCTAGAATACACGGCGAAACCCTAGGACACAAACACACTACAGAAACTAAAAGCTCCCAATAGGAGAATGAGAAAACGACCCCAATAGGGTAATGCTCACTCACTACTCGGGCAACACAGGGCCAACGGCTCAAACCAAACACATGACTGAACGACAAAACACAAGACTAAACGAACAAACTGAAAAACAAAACTAAGCAAAACTACAAACTAAAAGGACGAAGCCCTCCCTCGGCAGAACATCCGAAATGATCAGAAAACAAAGGCCGACTCCATGGAGAGAATCGAAGCACAGGACCCACGCCATCCACTGCCTATCGCATAGCAAAGACGGGGACCCGAGTCCCGAATCAATCCAAACAAATCGACCCGCTCTTCAGCCATAAGAAGCCACAATCGCCCTCCAACCGGCTAACACCACTAGCCCAGTCTAACACCGTCCCGAAATCGACTAACATCACTAGCTAATTCCAAAAACGACTGGCCTCCCTCGGACTCCGAAACAGAGAACAAGGTAGAAAGAGGAATGAATGGTGTCAAAGCCCCACCAGACCTATATAGCCCGGATGAGCAACCCGCTCTCCACCCAGCCTCAAAAGACGGAACCCTACCCATCACCCCAACAACGTCGAGATGTCGGCGACCAGAGGTCGCGAAACAACCCCAACAAGGGATAGGGATCAGGAACACAACCAACCTTAGAGCCCGGTGAGATGAGTCGCCACAACCCGGCAAGAGCGCAGGCGGTCTGAGCCACCACCATCTCCTGGCGCAGTACTCCATCATTCTCTCCTAATCTGGGAATCCGGCGGTCTTCACACAGG